AAACTGGCTTAGCCTGAAAGTAATTTGTTTTCTTGAATTAGTTTTCAGCTATTCTTTCTCCATCAGGTTAGCACCTAGAGACAACACTTCCACTGGCACAAGGAGGGATCACTTTTTGCATAGGAATTCTTATTCATACAAGGTTCAGAATGCTGAAACTGTAGCCTAATTTTCAGCAGGCAAATCAACTACAGTTGTGTTTCAGACCTTGCACAGTCTCATTAGCCCAGAAAAACCTGGACCAGTGCAATGAAGGAAGTGCAGATTTCCACATCAACATTTCCTACTCTACAGCAATCCCCAAATATGAATGAGATCAGGCTGCCCGGAGTTAACGTCCTCTATCTAACAACTAAATTATACCCAGATTACATACTTCAGATGTTAAGAATGGAAATTATGGTTAATACAGAGCTATTTGAATTACTCCTTGCATTAATAATTTTTTGTTTGGTTTAGCTATTTTTTCCAGTAAAAGTTATACATCAATGCAACAAACAAAAAGCTGAATAATAAGGAATTACATATTTAAAAGAATTGTGGTTTCTGATATGTACTTTATCTCCCTATATTTTCAACATTTCTACATATTAACATCAAGTATTTCCAAATACTTGATGTGAAAGGAAAATTACTGCTCAGCTTCAAGTCAACTAGGCAATTAAGTACATGCTTGCTGAATATGGCTCAGATATACCAGGATTTGAGGAAGACAGACTTCTTACCAGAGATTTCCAAGACAGCAGAAGGCTTGTGTGCCATTTTTAACCTAATCATCTTTCAGAAGGAGTAAACTACCAAAATCTAAGGGACCTCTCCTTTTGCACTGGAACATTCATTTTGGGGTATAATACTTCAGCTCGTGTATTCACTTCACTTAGTTTGATTTGCTTTTGATGTGCTTTGACTCCTCCAGAATGTCAAGGAAGAAAGCTTCTAAGAAAACAGGACAATGTGAATTTCTCCCATGACAATTATATTTCCCTTACGGATGTTGATGTCTACCACGAGCTATTTTTTTGATGTTTACATCTTGATTAAATGGCCTGGAACATCTCTTCTTCAAATTGAGGAGGGAAAAAAAAAAGAAAAAAAGGAAAGCAGTTGCAGCTGACTGTTGCAGCAAATTTACTACAAGTATTTTTTTCTGCAGGCATCCACAGGAACACAACTCGGCTGACATATCACATACCTTGAAGCACTCTCTGTCTCTTTTGATGTTAGTGAAAAGTTTTTTTTATATACAAGATCTTTTGGAAAAACATGTTTTCTGCCCCCTGAAAAAGCAAGCGTGCTTGCTTTTGCATCTTTTAATCTCCACGTCTGTTGCATTGTTCAGCACAACCTAACATGAGATACTCTAAACAAGCCTGCATTTGAGAATGTATAGGTGATCACCTCACAACTCTACTTGTTTTTTGCAGTGGAATTTCTTTTCTTTGACAAGCATCTGAATGAGTGTCCCAAGCTCTTGGTTTGCATGTAACCGCTATTCTTCCTAACGTTGTCTGAATTAAGGAAAGATCCTGTAGGGCACCTGCTGTCATATCCAAATAAATCAGGGATACATACATTGGAAGCTTCCTTTATTACTAAGTCTATATATTTTTTAAAGACATCAGTTCTCCCATAGAAGTTTGGGAGGATTCTACATATGGGACCATGCAGCGTTAGGTAATTCTAACTTTAAGCGCACAAAAGACTGGTGAAACAACTAGAGATCAAAGGAATAAGAAAAAAGCTTAAGACATTTTTTCTATCCACACAAAACAATACAGACCATGCACTACAGCTTTAATCACCTTGTCAAGATTCCTCTGCACATACAGCCTTTAATCAAACTACCTCACTCCAACACCACAGGCTATGAACACCTCATGCAGTAGCTTGCTGTGACAGAATGCAGAAGCAACTGTGAAGAGTTTACAGCTTCTTTTCATAAAGGAATAGTACTAGAACATCTTAGTAGGAACTGAAATATGTTCCAACAAAACTTAGCTGCTGGGAAACATCAGTGTGTCAAAGCTAAAATGCTTTGAACCCAGTATTTCAGGTTCAACAAACCTGTGTCAAATTTATATCTGAGTAATGCAAAAAAAAAAAAGTCGAGTTGAGATGTGAATTGGTAAATGCATTTCTCTGGCACTTAAACAGTTGTCAGAATGGTCTCTTGTTTCTTGATAACCCAGATGGGGCAGAAAAAAAGCTGTATGATTTTGCCCTTTTTTTATTGAAGGCATCATCTAAAACTAGCCAGCTGCCAACAAAAAAAAAAAAAAAAATCAGACTGATTCAAGGTAACTCCTATTAAGTACATTTTTAAATCAAAGTTAGAGGAAAAAATTCAACAGATTTAAATACTCCAGTGTAACACTCCACACCCTAAGATCACACACCAAGATCAACAAAGCTCAGCCACATCTGAAGTCAATTCTAGAATGTAATCTTAGTTGACGAGCTATGTCTTACCCATCTATGAATTTGCCCTTAAGGACATACTTTTCCAGTTAAGTATTTTAATAAGACTCCCAAATGAGCTTTTGTCTATCATGAATTCATTGTTCTGCTGAACAACAATTTTACACTGCTAGAGGCTCACCGTTTTCTTCTCAGCAGTTGTTTTCCCCATATATCCATAATCATCACGGCATTGCTATTACTAAGAACCTTCACAGAGTATCCAACAACAGTCAGTCCAAGCTGCAAGAAGTGATGAATGTGGGCAGCATTTAGTTGCTAGAGTTTTGCAATGGTATGGTCAGACTGAAGCGTATCTCAGGCCTGTGACACTACATTGTCCCTACTTAGAGGGGAAATTCTGTGCTGAGATGGGACTTACAAATTCCATCAAGCCACTCATCCTCTTGCGTAACATATCACTGAAAAGTTACTGCTGTCAGTACAAATAAAAAACAAATGTCATGGAGCAGTCCCATTGCATTTGTACCTTCGAAGGAGATGGAATGGCTAAGCAAGCTACAGTGACAGGCAGGTCTTTCACAACCACCAGTGCTAACTGTAGGCTCTGAGGACAGTGTCCAGCAATTACTCCGTAAGAGCTCAGTTCTACAGTCCATAGTGCTGGACAGGAGTTCAGTGGCAGAGAAAAAAAAAATATTAACAGATGAATGGATTATTTGGCCAATTTTAGTATTATTTGCACTAACCTGGCAATTTAAGATATTTACATCTGAACTATTATTAGGCATGACATCAGCACAGTCTGGGATCTACTACAACAAATAGCATGGGACCCAAAAGGGTTAAGAACCAGCAGACAAGAATCCTGTCCATTTAACATTCATATCCCTGTGCATACGCCATCTTACACTGGCATATAAATTACAGATATACATCACTGACATGCTGTGCTAGGAATCGCCCCAAAACCTCAAACTACAATTTGATGATTCAACAGGAAGACTTAAGGCAGACAGAGGAAGTAGGAAGGATGAAAATACTGAGTTTAATCTGTTCTACTTAACAAACAGGATTTGGGACCTTATTACGATCAAACTGTGGCAGTTAAGATATGCTGCTGCTTTAATTTGCACTAACAAGACACAGGAAAGTTAGAGCGATGCCTTCACAGGCATCAAGAGAATTTTCCCACACAAAGAGGACATCCCAGAAGATCTCCCAAAGATCCTTGAGAGAAAGGCAAACAAGTGGTTAAAAAAAACAATGCTGATTGGAAGACGAGAGGGCTCTAGTCTGACAGAAATAGCTAGGGATAAATGGTAAATCTTTGTTTCCATTGCCACTCCAGGAAAACACATCTCAGCCCAAGTTTAGCTGTCAGCCAAACCCTGCCCTCACTTCACCTTAGTATCCTTCGCACTTTCTTCAACTTGGCCCTTTGTTTTAAGCTCTCTTTACACAGAAAGATGAGTCAAATCTTTTCTTAAAAAAAAAAATAAAAAATTAAGTATCATTCCACCTTCACTACAGTATCATTATCTGGTGGGGCAGGGTAGGATAAACAATAAAATCAATGAGATTTTTCTGCACAAGGTTCTTATGGTAAACCCAGAAATGCTTTTTATGCCAGGGCATTTGTTTCTGTCCTTGTTTTTATCTAATGGAAAATTTAAAAAAAAATATTGCAAATAAAACCAGATTGTATCAAAATAACAGTAAGACAATTCTTCAGCTTGATGACACATGCAAATAATTCAAACCTAAAATCAGATCTCTTATGGTGATTGTAGATCTGGTGGACATACAAGTATCATTCTGGTTATATTTGAAGGCTACATACATAGTCTTTAGAGAACACAACATGAACAATGTATCACCAGCTTTCTAATACCTTTTCAAGCAACAGCTAGTGTATCAAGGAAAAGTTTTACCACTTTTCTTAGTGGGTATACATCAAATCAGTTATCAAAAGTGAACCATGCTCTATTACATTGATCCAGATATAAAAAGTATACAACATAATTATTTTTAAAAAATGTTTAAACTAACAAAACTTAACTCCTTTTTAAAAGAGTGAAATGATATATCAACAGAAGCATTTACGGTTTTGAATTTAGGAAGGGCAGCCAAGTAACATGGCACATCACCAACAGAACACGTAACTCCTGGGTGATCAGGGGCATTATGTGACTACTTCTGTTGCTGCCCATCACTACTCAGGGGAACAATTAATTATTGAACTGTTAGCTTTCTAAAGACACAGCCCTCAACAGGGCAAAAGAGCTGCATGGAAAACTCACACGCTCAGTTTTTATTTAGCATGACTGTAGTTCTGGAAGTTATGGAAAGATAAGCTACAAATATGTTGTGGAAGATCAATTTTTTTTTTTTTTTTAAACACTAGCAAAACATAATAATTAAAAACTGCCAAACTACGAAGACATTCAATGAATCGAAAGCTAAAGCATAAATTCACATTACTTTAACCAAGGAAACAGTAGAAAAGTTTAGAATATTATCAGAAGTTACAATTTGTCAATCAATCAAAAGCAGACACAAAGGCTGCATGGGAATCTTACCAGAACTCGATCACCAATTTTGAGCTCCCTTTCTCCTTTCTTTAGTGATCCAGCTTCAGATAGATTTGATATAGATTCACTTGCAGTTTTTGAAAGATTGCTAATCTGAGAAGGAGTTGAATGTTCCTTAGCAGCAAGCGGTGAAGTTTTCTGTGGAATTCCTGAAGGGGGAAGCGCAGCAGCAGAGGAAGACACCATACTAGCAGCGGATGTGGAAGTTGGTGATGTAGCTCTAGAAGCATGAGCTGTCTGTGTACCATTGGCTTCATCTTCTGTCAGCACTTTTCTTGTCAATTTTGATGGTCTTGTAAATATTCCCCTCAAGGGTTCACACTGGAAATAGCGAACTCCAGCCACAGAGCCATCATTCTTACCAATTGGTTCATCTAGAACAATCCCTGCCCACTGTCCTGGAGCAAACTGTGTTTCACCAAGGAACTGAATAAAGCCAGGTTTATTTCCATTGACCCAAACACGCTCCCCAACTCTGAAATCATCCACAAACTCTTCATGTGCATCTGCAGTGGTTGTGCTTGAGGCCTTTTCACTGGAAGCTGCTTTTTCTGCTGGAGCTGGAATCAAGCACAACAAGAAAGCAACAGGAATCAAATACACTAATATTCCAGAGCACATCATTACTTAGTTTCAATGTAACAAGCATTTGGAAAACCATGATTTCTGAAAGGAAGAGCACAATTTCAAGTTTTCTTACTTATGAAAACACTGTAATCTCTGGAATCCAATAATTCAAAATCTAAGGACAGACACACTGAATGAATTTAACGTAGGTTTTGGTAAATATCTTGTAAAGATTACAAGTCTTACTTCAAAAACTACCCAATCATTCAAAGAAAACTACTTGATCACATCCAATTAGTAACTTTTTGCATGTTGTACACATCATTTTTGTTAGATCAGAAATACAACCAAAATAGTAAAAATAGTGTATACTCATAGCTTTCAATGTACTTTTTCCTAAAAGATAAATAAGGAAAAAGTTAAGATATTTAAATACTCCTTACCAGCTGCAACAGATGCAGGTGTTTTCAGCAATGTACTCCCATGCTTGATGGTCTTTGAAGGAGCCTTAAGTCCACTTGGTTTTAACATACTCATCTTTTTGCAATACCAGCGTTAATCCTCTTTGTCTGTAGCAACTATCTTTTTCCAAACATGGATAAAATATATTACTCAAGTTTTTCCAACTCTGGAATAAACCTGTATATAAAAATATTAGACATGAAACAAAAATCAGTATTTTAACTCCTGCAGAAGACATTTATGTATATACACATAGTCTATGTACAAAATGCATGATAAAAGATGCTTTACAATAACAACCAGAAGCATTTCCAACTCCCCATCTTTTGAAGCCCATTTCCTATTAAAAGACACCAAGTCTGAACCTAAAACATCAAAATAACTCACTTCACTGAATGCTGCTGTATTCATCTTGAGCTTTAAACTAAAAGGCTATTTTAAGAAAGAAAAACAAAGCCCTTAACAACATTACTAACATTACCCATAGATACAACCACTCTGCGCACCCTACTGTTTTCAGTCACATTTTTCAAGCGTTGCAATATCCCAGCAAAACCAACTTGAGAGCAGAGAACTGCAAGTGAAATCAAGAGAACCAGGAATTTCAGGGTAAGAAGAATAAAGTTTTTAAGAGAGATTAGAACTGAAAAACTAAACTCAATCAACAGAGTTAGATGATGACAGCTAAAAAGTAAACATCCACCTCAGCTGTATGTGATTTTTTAGATCACAAGATACACTGGCTCGCAGTCCCCAACACAGTGCCCCAGCTACGCTCCTCTGGAAAGAGGAGGGACTCTTCCCTACGTTGCTAGGATAGGGCGCTGCTCTGACTTGGAAGCCAGCTATAAGCTTTTCAGGGAACTATGTCATGAGGGTTTTGCCACAGAAGGCATCTTCCTTCTGATTACAAAAGCTGTAGAAAGGCTTTTTCATCTATAATGAAAAGTCTTTTTTTTTTTTCTAGAATAAGAATTCAAAGCCAAAGTGTAAGGTGGCTGGTCTGCCCTCATCTTCAGAAACATAAACTGTTCTGCATGCACACAGCTTGGCTATTTGGTGAGCTTTATATATAAAGCATTGACAGAATAGCTATACCTTCTTAAAAAACAACACACAAAAAACCAACCCAGCAAGCATCTAAACAAACACCCTAAAAAAAAAAAAAAAAGGAAACATAGACATGTAGCAATAGCCTGTTTGCTCAACTGCTCAGAACATGCCAAACAAGAACTGTAAAGCAGGTCTCAGTCCTGCTGGTTACTCAGCATTTTGGCACCAATCGGTACAAATGCAGAGGCAGAACGGTGGCCAGTTGCAAACATCCCAAACCATTATTAGCTGTGCTCAGGTCTGCGTACTGGACGTGCAGAATGTTTAATGGCAAGAGAAACACTGCTGAAGGAGAGATTGCTATGCTATAGGAAGGAAAACCAAAGAGACAAGCCAGCTGTGTCTTTTACCGGCCAGTAGAAAATCTACCCCTTGTGTATTATTAATAGGCAGCACATCAGTCTTCCTAAAAATCAATTCATAGAATCATAGAATGGTTTGGGTTGGAAAAAAAGAGAAATTATCAGGCACGCTGCTTTATGAACCTAACTAGCCAGTGAAACATTTCTTCTGCTATTTCAAGATCGGCCATAACAAATTAAAGCCATTTTCTAAGGAGTTTGAGAAACTGCTATACTTTAAAAAGCATTAATTGCCACCTTGGCTGTATGGTGTTTATCTACAATTTAAGTTATGCTCCATGAAAACTCTGAAGTAGCACTGTGAAGATTTCTGAACTTTTTTTCTAATGTTGCCAGAAGTACGTCACCCACCCATTGCAGAGTTATGACTACTGAAGAGAAAAATTTCTCCATTGTTTTTGCAAGACATATGCCAGTTTACCATTAATTTTTAAGTGGGAGTTTTCATGTTCATGAACATAAAAGCAGAGTTAGCTTTCTAAAAAATCAAAGCAGAAGGATAGGCATGAAATATGACCAAACCGTGAAAGAACTGGGAGGCACACAGTTATGCAGAAAAACTAGAGGATCACATAAGATGTCACTTTGGACACAGCAGGAACACTGGTATGGGGTTTTTTTCCCCTCTCACTACATACCTGCCCTCCCTGCAAAATCTGAGTGCATTGTATTTCATCATATTTTGTTTTAGAAATCTTCCAAAACTGTGCTTTGCTCTTACACGCCAAGGATTTGAAAAGCCTTCCTTTTCTCTCTCATACACATGCTACCTATCTGTTCTTCCTCATGCTGCAGCCCTATTTCCCTCCCCTCCAACGCCAGGATCTCCATGCATGCCTCCATTACTTTCCTCAACCCATCAGAACACATGAAACAGAAAAACTGTACACGATAAAGAAGGATTTGGTACAAATACAGAAATGTGAGAAGCATCAAGGTCAGTTCTTTTTAGTTCACAGTCTTCTCTGTTAGTGCCAAACACCAGATTTATGGAAATTCAACAACCTTAAGACACGTCCTCCTTAAGAAAGGCTGCCTCCTAAAACCAGGAAGCTAGAAGCTGTCTTACAGTATTCCGCCATTATTTTCCATATACGACCTCTTTTTTCCCCTGAAAGAGCATTCCAGCACCACACAGGTAGTAACCATCTATATTGTGCAAGAATAGGTATATTAAAAGAAAGCAAACACTGAATTACCCCCCCCAAATGACATTTTGCCAGTTTCAAGTAATTATTTATTAATAGATGTTTAACAAACCTCTGCTCAAGAGAAAGTTACAATGTTCCAATATTGTATTTCTTGGCTCGGGGTACTCATTCATATTTTAATCTTGCTCTCCACAGTCATAGCTTATATATTTGCTGTGTCATTTGCTTTTCTCAACATACAGGCCTTCAACTAGGCCAGAAGTAACACAATCCCTTGTGCCCTGGTTTCAGAGTTACTGAAATTGTAGCTTAATACAAAAACCTGCTAAAATACAGGCAATATATTTTGGTAAATTGCTGCCTTATTGCAACAGTGAAAATGCAACTTTCAGTCTTCGAAAGAGACAGGACCCTCATAGTAGCATTTCCCAACAGAACTCATAAAACACTGAAAGCACATAAATTTGCAGCAAGTGATTTAAGCATTAAACGCTCCAGCATTTCCTAACAGGCTCCAGATGTCAATTATCTCATTTTAGTTCTTGTAAGAGAGAGCAGCTAGCTACTTGTCTCAATTTGTTCTCTTGCCTTCCTTGAATCTCTCAGCTCTCCTGAAAAAGAATCTCTATAACCAATATGCAATAACATTAACTGTAATTTTCTCAAAAGATTTTATCAGGAACCTAAGGATATGCCCAGAAAGACTCTGATACACTACTTAAGAATTCAGAAAGTCACAAAAAAAAGGAGATTTTAAACACAAGCTTTACACTTGTGCCATTACTAGGAAACACCTGATTTCATACAATATGAAAATGCATTACACTCAAATGAATTATGATTTTTTTATGTGTTGACTACTGAAAATTTTTAAATGCAGACATGAATCCTTGCACTGACCCTTTTAGCTGATTAATAATATCCTTATTCTTATTTACCTTTTACAGACCTCTAAGTAGTGCATGGATCAAAGCAATCCATAAGCAACAAGTTGAGAACCATTGATGTAAGAAAATAAATCCTATTAATCTGATAATATATATTAATTCTGTTGGCAAGTTGAGATTAAAAATAAATTTTAACCACATAAGTCTGAATTTAAAAAGCAGAATATTTTCAAACTGTCAAAAAAGGAATTCCTATAATAAAAAGACATCGGCTGTCCACCACTGTTTCTTTCAAGACTGTATTTCAAGACTAGTATTCCAAAAAGAATTAAAACACAATTAAATAAGAAAACAGGAGGAAAAGTTAAAGCCTCAGCTCACTCCATTTATGAACCCTATAGTCATGACAAGAATATAACAGTATCAATAGTTCTTGAAGCTTCATTGACACCTGACAAACATGCTACCACCACCACCCTCTCCTTCCTCAGGACAGATAGTGCCATAATTAAAACATTTCATCTGACAAAACATTTGAAACAATGACTTGACAATTTAAGAAAGAAAGGTTTGCTAACATCACTACTTGCAACTACTATGGAACAGATGCAGTGTTTCCATGGAGAAAAGCAAGTTGTCTGTCCATTTGGTATGGAAACAAAGAGGACATTCTAGAACAGAGCAGGATCGTGTTCGAATTGACTCAAAACAGACTGCATAATCTCTGTCTCCTGCATGCAGACACATGCAGTCTGACTCTCTGCAGCGTACTTTGAGGCTGGAACACTACTCGCGTGGTTTATTTGTATAATAAAGTAAAACAATTATTTTAATTGATGATCATGTGCTATCGGTCATGCACAAGTTCTTCAAAATAGAAAGTTTAATTTTAAACTTAGTTAACACCATTAAGAGACTAAATACTGTTAGAAAATGCCTTTCCATGCCAACATATTTCTAAGCTCAAAAAAGAGACCGCTTCAATTTGTTAATTCTGCTAAGCATACCAGTGGTTTGCAAAATACATACAAAAATCAGGACTAACAGATAGAGAGTAAACATTCTAAAAGGATTGTGTAGAATAGATACCTCTGCTGAAAATCTCAGAGAGATCTGTAACCAGAGATCATACGCAATCCCTGCGGCAGTCAGCTAGTAGGTATCTAGAAAACAAATTCTGACCATACCATGAATATGTACAAAATGAATCAGAAAATCCCTTCTGCAGAAAAGTGATACGGAAAATATATTTCAAAGACCACCACCATCCAGTAACTTCACTTTCCTGAGAGAAAAACAAACTCACCACATGACGCACTACGTTTGAAATAACATTGCTGAACAGCATTTCTTAAATAACTGTTTCGTACTCTTGATGTTCATACCACTATTGCCAAGCTTTCAACAGCTCATGAATCATTCCTCAAATATCCTGACAATGGTTTATAGAACGTAACTTGGAATTTTGAACCTGGAAAGTTTTCTCTTTTGGTCCATGAGTTACTCAAAGAGCTCAGATCATTTGCAGTTACAAATGGTTACAACTCCTAAAATTACTGCAA